TTACCTATTCCAAACACAAACACAGTCAAATAAAGACTAACGGCTGAATTTTTAAATCATCAGATAAAAGTTATCCATCAAATAAATTTTAACCAGACTCGACAATGAAAAAACAATGGATTTTTTTCATTCCTACAGCTGTAATTTTAAAATTGTTTGTTTTATTAACATTATATTTTTTTAAACATTATTTTATCTTATGAATGACTTTTATCTGATATTTGAAAAATTGTTCTTAAATGTTATTAATCGAGCTAAATTTTAATGAGGAATTTAATACGAATCGTTGAGACATTTGTAGTTTAAGAGTTTCAAAAGTTTACATTATACGAAAATTTAACGAAATCATTCTTAGTCTTCGCTATTCTCGTATGTCTAAGTGCAAACTGTTTAATGCTATAAAGTATGTTGAACGTTCTGTTTGGATTGTTTCTCTGTTTAAAATACGAGACCATTTTTAAATCAAATGTTGTATTAATAGCGTAACATGATATAAACGGAACTCCTATTTTATCAACCGCATGTTGATAAAATAGGAGTAGGATAAGTTTCAAAAGTAGCTTTAACATATTTTGGGTTTGAATATATGCCATTATCTTTGTGCCTATGTCTCTAACATTGCGTTCGAATCTACCTTCCGGCTTTTCACCGGCATTTATAGCGGTAATGAATTGGTAGGATGAGCGAGTGTCATCTTGTGGTTCTATAATATACGAGTAATGTCCTGGTCAGTTCGAGTAAGGTCATCTTATTTATTAGCTTCGGAATATTAAAGTAAATATCTTATATTAACTTATTTTTATATTTTATCGACGTTTCGACTACTGTTCTAGATGACCGGACTACTTTTCTGCTAAGAAATCCGTCTGGTTTTGTATCACTCTATTATCAACTTTCTCTGCCAATATTAGTGCGTGCACTGCTGTATTTCAGTCTAAAGAGCGAGTATAATTACAGGCTGTAAGGCATAGTCCCCAGAGGTGACAACGCATTTTGTCATCAATAGCCTTCTTGTTTCTTTACGTTGGTTGCAAACGCCTGTGAGTTGCAGTTTGTCACTTAGCAACACCCATAGTCGCGGGACTATGGTGTTCCACGACTGAGGTGTTAAAATCATTAAATATTATTATTATTCAAATCTCAGTATTTGCATTAAATGAGTTTTTCAAAAAGTATAAATGATGATTTTTACTTAGCTTACTTTGCCACGTTGATCAAGCGGGTTCAGGAACGCAAAGCAGCTTCTCCCAGTATCAATAGTCTATGAATTTTGGATTCATTGATTAAAATTACTTTTACGGATTTTATCGCGGAAATCAACGCTCCGGGAAGTCGGCAGTTTGTGATCATATCCTAGACGGCCCCAACCATTACATCAGATTTGATAGACCATAAATCCTCGCGAAAGAACACCGATTCCTACCAAGGATGATACGAGAGGCTATTGAAATTAAAAACATCTTAATTTCAATAGAGAAGGAGGCTGGGTACTACCACCCGCTTGGGACCCTATAATCAATAAAATCAAAACTAAACTCAAGCATACCACTGCAAGACCTCAAGTCAGTTAATTTTGCATAGATCGTACCATAAACAATAATTAAAAAAGCTGAAGGTACTCCGGGTTTAACAATGACATCGGGACGTCAGTCACCTCAGTCCCCCGTGACCATGGGTTCTGGAAAGCACCGGAAACGTCGGGAATTAAAAATAAAAATAAGTAAAATTAAAATTAAACGCGATAAAATCCGTAAAAGCAGTTTTAATCAATGTGTAGTGTTCGCGTAAATATAAGAAATCAATTTTGGATTCAGCTGATTTGGATACATTTAATACCGCCATCAGTCGGTCACTAGTCACTAGAGGTTTATTTGTGAATGCATGGTGCTGGCGTGTCAGTGTGGTTAAAAAATAGGTGACACAATTCCTCTTTGAACAAAATTATTTTTACGGGTTTTATTGCGTTTAGTTAACTTATTTTTAAAACTTAATGTTTAACTTCAGTAAGCACCAGGTGGTCAGTTCTTTCAATAAATGATTTTAAGAGGTGGCCCCTTAATTTTAGCTTGTAAACTATTATCATGTAAAGAATGTAAAGATATTGTGAGCCTCTCTGTTGAGTGAACTGTAGAAATGGCATGTGTTGAGTTTGAGCACCTCATTGTTGAGAGCGTCTACAGACCCCCATGTTCTATATACTTTTGAAAAAAATATGGAGAAAGAAAAGCAAACATGACACGTTCACTGGGAAAAAAGATTCGTTAGGTACGAGCTAACAGGTGTGGTAAAATATCAATAATCATAATCTGATAACCACCTAGTACGGCCTTCATCCAATGATTCGGATGAGGAAATCGAATACTTCAGATAACATTCAAAATGTTGCCATCGCTGGTCCACAGGCCCTACACTTAGTCTGTTTTCATTAAAAATTGTTTTTTATTTAAGTACAATTTTAGAAAATTATAGTTATTATCGAGGATTAGATCTTGAAAGCATAAATTTCAATAAGCCTAACATTAGTGTAATTCTGGTACTGGAATCAAAAACAACTGGCTGCTATCAAAAACATAGTTGTTTTTGTTTGGCTTAATAAACAGAGTAAATCTGTTGTAATATGTGGAGACTTTAATATCAATTTCCTAGAAGCTTCTTCCATCATTATTAAATTTAGATCATTGTTTAAATCATATGGTTTTTTTATTTATTTTTAGAACCAACGCGTGTTGCTGAATTTAGTACAACATGTATAGATAACATTCTTACAAATGTTAATCTGTTCCATAAATGTATAATTCAAAAATTGAGTTCTAACCACTGTAGACATTTAGTTTCGTTGCCTTATGTTCACAAAAAGCAAGTAGATGAAAAAGTTGTGTTTGTTCCAGTAACAATAACTTTACAATGAAAGTTCATATAATCCTAGCGTCGAATTTGAGAAAGATGTAATTTCAAAAAGATTTAAAAGAGTGTGATCCATAGCAAAGACTTTGTATTTGAGCAACAAAGTAAAGACGGTTTCTAATAAAATTAAAATGGCATGAAGTATAATTAATAGTGAAACTCTCGCAATTCAAACCACCAGTTAAGTTTTAAAAACAAATTAACTAAATTAGATCAGGACGTTGCAATGGTTTTTGAGAAACATTTTACTGATATTCCGATCTTAACCACTAAGTCACTGAATCCTTTTCCTGCCGTCGCCGAATCATTAATTAAACAAAATGTAAATGCGTGTACAAAGAATTTTACATTTCATAAAGTATCATCAAAGGATATTGTAAAATATTTTAAAACTATTGATATTAAGAAAACCGCGTTATTGCGTCTATATACAATCGCACCTCAACTATCTATTATTTTAAAGTCTTGTGTCGAACCTGGTGTGTTTCCTGATTTAATGAATCATAATACAGTAATACCTTTACTTAAATCTTGTAGTGCATTGGACCCCGCCAATTTTAGACATATTTCTGTACTGCCAACCCTTAGTAAAATTTAAAAAAATACTCTTGATCAAATGTTAAATAAAATAATGCAAAAAATTTACTACATAAAAATCTATTCAGTTTTACAAGGGGTCACGCGACAACTGATGCTGGTGTGAAGCTGATCAAATATATCTTCAATGCATACGAGAATTCACAGGATGACTTGGGGTATATTCTGTGACATATCCAAAGCCTTCCTTTGTGTTCACCATGAAACATTAATCAGGACACTTCGACACTATGGTGTCAGAAATGATTCTCTGAAATTAATTATTTCATATTTAAGTAACAGAATGCAAAAAGTTGACATTAATAGTATGAGTTCTTTCGGGTCGATAGTACAAATGGGCATGCCTCAGGGCTCAATTCTCGGCCCCTTTCTGTTTCCCGTATATATTAATGACTTACCTTACATAGTAGGGCATAACCATGATAATATTATTTGCTGACGATACTTCATTAATTTTCACATTAAAACGACAGTTACTAAATTATGACGAAGTAAATAATGCTATACCTAAATTAGTAAATTGGTTTAATGTTAATAATTTGCGTTTAAATGGCACTAACACTAAATTTATGAAATTCATAACTCCGAATGTCAAACATGTACGTAATTTTAAATGGTGAGGACCTGAGTCTTGTTGGCACCACCATTTTTCTTGGAATCATACTAGACACAAAGCTTCAATGTGGCCCTCATATATCAAAACTAGCAAGCAGACTTGGTTCTGCAAGGCAGCAGACTTGGTTCTTGGTTCTGCTTGTGTTTGAAACAACTAGACTAGTTTACTTTAGCTATTTCCATAGCATAATGTCGTATGGTATTTAGCTATGGGGACACGCGACTGACGCTGATATTATATTTGTTTTACAGAGGGGATCATTAGAGCAATCTATGATTTAAAACCTAAGGATTCGCTCAGACAACATTTTAAAGAAATTAAGATATATGTATTAACTTTGACTTCTCAATACATTTATGAAAATGTAATGTACGTACTCAAAAATAAAAATAGTTTTGCAAAAATAAGTGATATTCATTCTGTAAATACTAGGAACAGACACAAGCTAGTATGTAGTACCAGTTACTCCACTACACCGAATCAGTAATTTATTTTTGGGGCGATATATGCGATTTTACAACAAAATCTTAGAAAATATACAAAATTTGGCCTGCACAAAGTTCTAAAACTTTATTAAACCAAGCTTGTATAAAAGATTATTATTATGTTAAGCAATTAATGGATGATAATTATACCTGGTAAGGGTGATCGCTACTAAGCTATTTCTAATTTGTTATGTGTTGTTAATTGTAACGTACATAATTGATAGCCGTTATTTTTTTTTAAAGTACCGCTGGGTTTCTTACTGGTTTTTCCCAGGACAGAGGTTTTCTTCCGAACCAGTGGTAAAATAAAAAAGTGATTTTCAATAGGTATTATTTACAATTTCTATTGAATAAAAAGGCTTCTGTTTATATTTGTAAAAGATCTGCATGATTTTTAGGTAATCCACGAAACAAATGCGCTCTTCAACCTGGTCATAGTCTAATGGATTGGATTCGACTAGGCAACTCCGGCAAAGACTTAACAGGAGTTGGCGGACGAATTAGACCGGTACACCCATCTGAACTTGCAACACACAATAAAAAAAGTAATAAAAATACCAGTATGTTACTTTAAGAACAAGAATAAAGAAATATTCCTAAAAGTGCTTTTCTTTCAGATGACGCCTGGTTAGCTATTCGTGGTCGAGTTTATAACATTACGCATTATTTATCATATCATCCTGGAGGTAAGCGTAGTACGCAAAAATCATATGTTTTTGGAATCGCTATAGTTTCCATTTTGTAATTTACTTTACAATTTAAAAATGTCTTGTTAATACTTAATAACGTCTATATTGTATTTTTAGGCCCAGAAGAACTTATGCGAGGAGCTGGTATAGACGCAACAGAGCTATTCGATAAAGTACATCCGTGGGTAAATTATGACTCGCTCCTGGCCAAATGTCTCGTTGGTCCTCTTCGTTTTGATAGACCTGATGGAGAAGAACTTTTTAGTACATTTAATTCGTCTAATAAATCTGAACGTCTACGAGAGCCTTCTAAAGCTCAGGAGCTTGTAAGGAAATCAATGGAAAACATAGCAAACTGTATAACTCCTGTTAGAAAGAAAGTGTCAAATAGAAATGAAGAAAATGCAAAAGGGAGTCCACCAAGTAAAATTATGCAGAGTCTTATACACTCAAGTGAATTGCCTGTGTCAATAAGTCGAAAAGCGGGTTCAAGTCCTCTGAGAACCGATAAAAACAATGATAATACACCACCATCTTTTCGCTTTGATTGGATACAAACATCTACAAAACTAACGATTTCAGTATACACTGGATATCTGGCCAATCCAGGCGGCTGTGCAAGGATAACTGACGGAAATCTTCTCATTGAAGTAGTAACTAACGGTTGGTTAAGAACTATAAAATTAGTGCCTGAGGATGCGTTACAAGAACCGTTACAATTACGGGTCTTCGCTGAAAGCGGGAAGATAGAAGTAAGTTGTTATATCCTATGGTATTTTTGAAATTCTAAAAAGAAGGTTTTCACTGATGTGTGATAAGAAAATGTTTTCTTAAGGTTATAGCTCAAAAAGCAGAATTGAAAATTTGGAAAAATTGCGGCGATACAAATGTAAGTACAGCTATTAAAATGACAGCTCCTCGCACAATAGAATGTCGTGTTGAGAGTATCAGTCCAGTGACGCAAGATACAATGTTATTAGCGTTAGCACCACGTTCTGGCCCTGTCGCCGTTCCAATAGGACATCATGTACGAGTACATAAAACGCTTTCAGGTATTGACTTTTCGTGTTTAACTTATTTCATCTAATATAAAATTAGTTTCAATTATTTTAACATGACCGTTTTCTAACATTTTTTTTTCGGTATTACTATTTGAAGAATGCTTTTTGTATTTAATTAACCATCATGGTCCTGTAATAATGTTATTAAATAATTTAAAAACAAAAATCTATCTAAATATTTATTAACAGCAAAATAGTAGTTTAATGAACTGAGAGGTTTGCTTCAGTCCAAACACCATTAATTAGTATTATACTTTTGTACAGGTTCCGAATGCATACGATCTTATACTCCTGTTGGTGATAATTGGGGCTCTTCTAGTAATGTATCAGCACCAATTAGACTTGCTATAAAAAGATACGAATCTGGCGCTTTGTCACCAACGCTCACATCTTTAAAAGTTGGAGATCACATCACCGTGTCAGGGCCCTACGGAAATTTTGAACTCCATAAGGTTTGAATGTTGTCATGAATTTTTTAAAATAAGAAAATTACTACCATACTCTTCTTGGTGTTAATTGTTAATAAATTTATTATTTTATGTTTTAGTAGTCGAAGTTCACACAGTATTTTATAAATTTATAAAGATTTGCATATCATATGTATATCTTTATATTTTTTTAATAAATTTACATAATCTGTTACAGTTAAGAACAGTAACAACTATGTTTTTGATAGCAGCTGGTACTGGAATTACACCAATGTTGGGCTTATTGAAATTTATGCTTTCAAGATCTAATCCTCGATGGTAATTACAATTTTCTAAAATTTTACTTAAATAAAAAAAACTATTTTTAATGAAAACAGACTAAGTGTAGGGCCCGTGGACCAGCGATAGCATCATTTTGAATGTTATCTGAAAGATTCCATTTCCCATCCGAATCATTGGATGAAGGCGGTACTAAGTGCAATATAATTTAAAATTAATCTAAATCTAAATTTATAATTATTTATATATTTTATAAATTATTATTATTAATATTTTACCACACCTTTTTTACAGTGAACGTGTCACCTTGCTTTTCTTTAACAAAACTGAAGACGATATTTTGTTTCGAGCAAATTTAGAACAGATGATGAGTCAAGATAATAGGTGAGCCCTTTTTTATAATATGTGAGAAATGCTTTCATTTTTCATTATTTTACATGATATTTTATTATATAATCCAGCAAGAAAAGGATGATATGGTTACAAAATAGGATCAAACACAAGATCTAAAAATAGTTTATGTCTTCTTACTCAAGGGTGACAGAATAAATTAAATCAATGTAGGAAAAACCAATAACTTGTCAACATAAAATATTTAATTTACAGTTTATAGTTGATAATATAATTTTAATGTTTAATTAACCTCAAGTGTCCGTTATTTTAACAGACTTAACGTCGTGCACATTCTATCAAACGCAAATTCAACATGGGTCGGACACAAGGGACGAATAAGTAACGAGCTTTTATCTGAAATACTTGGTGAAGCAGCTTTTAGTTCTGGTGATGAGTGTTCACATTTTGCTTGCTTGTGCGGTCCTACGGAGTTTACCCATGCCGGCATCGATTTGTTGAAAAACCTGGGTATGAGGGAAATGTATATACATGCTTTTATAGGGTAAAGATGTTATTTAATACTTAATTGTGGTATAAAGAATAGGAAAATTGTGACATTTTATTATTAATGAAATAAATAAGAATGTACTTATTTTAGATAATGTATATAGTAATTTAAATCGATTTATTGTGATTTCGTCCCAAGAGTGAGAAATAGTTGCAAACACATTTGTAAATAGCGTCATATTGAATAAAACTAAATTTACGGATTCTATCGCGTTTATTTAACTGATTTTACTTATTTTTAATTCCCGACGTTTCGGGTGCTTTACAGCAAAAAGAAACGTCGGGAATTAAAAATAAGTAAAATCAGTTAAATAAACGCGATAGAATCCGTAAATTTAGTTTTATTCAATGTGTAGTGTTCGCGTAAATTTAAGAAATCATTAATAGCGTCATATTTATATGTTTTAACCACATCTACAAGTACGGGATACTTGTCGCCGAAAAATCTTATCTTTCCCTCGGTAGATTTAAAAGGAACGTGTGATAAGCTCGCGTCTAATATGTACACAAAGTATATTAATAGTACACACAATGGTGTCACAGTTTTAGTGTTGTATTAGATACACTGAATAAGCCTACATTTAAATAAAAAAGGGTATTTAAATTTGGTGCCGTCTCCATATTAATTTTAGTAAGTACCTCTTGTCCTCATATTTTTTTTATAAAAAAAGAACAATATATGATAGAACTCTACTAAAGTTTTTGACTATATGTATTACATTGAATTATTTATAAGTTTTTGAATGTAGTAATAGTAGTAATTATTGCAATATAATTGTAATTAAAGTTACCTTGTTATAGTTTCAGGAGGGTTGATTTTTCTGTAACTACTTAAAATATTGAATGAGTTTTGTTATGTTATTTTAGAATATTGCTGTTTTATTATTTTATAACAGTTTTACGGAAAAAAGTAAAGTTAAAAGCAAATTGATATCTTTAAGGCCACACGCAAACTCGCCGTCGTCAGTTGCCAAGTGTTATTCTTTTTTGACTTTATGTCGATGAGATTCGGTGTTCAGTTTTACGGAGGCTTAGGCAGATTGGCTTTATCAGCCGAGCTACCGGTACGCTACAAGTGCAGAGTTAGATTTGTATGTATATATAACAATATATATTTGTTATAAATGTCTACTATACATTATTTTTAGCAATAAGTAGTCAGGAAAGTTCCATATAGTAAAACGCAACGCGAGTCGCTGACATTAGTCGGTCGTTTGTGTTAGAAATATGCTCACTCCGCTCACTATTATGTAGTATCTTATATCCGACGTACCTTAGGTATCGGGCAAAAATGGTATCGGATCGGCGAGAGGGGTCGATCATACTTGCTCTGATTTTAACTTATTGGTAGTAAGTTTTTATTAAATTACGCAATCATATTTTACTGACTTATTGATTGAATTATTGGACCGATTAGTCTACTGTCTCCGCTATTATGCCTTATTAGTATTTAAACACCTTCGATAAATAAAATTGTTATATTTATTAAGGTGTGGCGTTTCAAACTTTTTAGTATTTTGTTGATTTCTGTAAAATTTAAAGCCGAATACGACGCGAATGACCTTGCTCGTCGAAAACCACGCGCCGCTGGTACGCTTTGTTTATATAGACATGTATAATACCTATAATCAAAGCCGTACGGGCTTTGATTATATTATATTTGACCGAGTATGCAGAGTAATGAACAACACAGAGAGCATTGCTTACTTCTTAAATAAATTTTTCTTATTTATAATATTAGTTCCTATAGATTATAAATTCTGTACTTTATTCGTTATAAAATATTGTTCGAAAAGTTATTGAATTGATAACGATTTTTTTTTCTTAATTGGTGCATCGTACGTAAAGAACCTCATATAACTGAAAATGTTTGTTCTTGTGAGTCGTACAAGATGCCGTAATGCAAATTGCATAAATAATAAAGAAAAAAAAAACTAAAGTCAGTGATTGCCCCATAGTGGGGATAGGTACTGTGTATGTAAATTCTCACAAGACTACTCCGACTGGTCAATCGCTTCACATCCGAAGTATTTCGGTTTTTCTTAATTATGTACTTACCCCATGCTTTCGGACAATACATTGACTATGACACTATTTGCGGTCTCTGTGCTTGCACTACTCTGTACATACTTTTCCGACTGGGTCTTGATATATACATTTTTAGTGTTTCTCACTTGAAACTAGAAAAGTATAAATAATCAGTTTGGCTAATGTAAATGAGTAAAAATGCAACCTATTAGGCAGCCTAAAACAAAAAATTACCTTACAAAAATATAAGTATTAACCTCAAAATACAACATTCGAGCAGCGTTCATGCGATAAACTCTCTTTGTTTTACCACTTAGGTAACATTTATTTCTTTTCCTACCCATATTTACATTTATAGTCACTTAAACGCGTATAAAACACTAAATTAACGAGTTTCGCTACAGACACATCGACTGTTGTTACCTTACGTCACACGTCGAAACGCCTGGTAATTTATTACGGCAAACTTGTATCTGGCAATATACGATATTATTATTAGGTGTTTTTAATTAAAACGAATTATGTTAATAAATAATATTTTGTATCGAAAATAAATATAGCAGGTACCTTCGGAATCACAATACAAACATTTTTACGTAAAAGAATTTTTCCTAAATTAAAATTCACAGAGTTTTGGAAGAACAATAATTTTATATATCATTTCTTAACATTTTTTTATTTGTTGGTATATTCATTTATTTTAAAATTTTAAAATGACGGTCACCTTGTGAAGGAACGGACAAACCTACAAAAATGTTTTAAAGCTTAGAATTACTTCAGGTCAAAGTTCTACTCAAGAGAAATACATTAATTTTCGCCAGTTCTCTTCATATTCGGCCTTAAATTGTTATGTGAAAACTACATGTAAATATTAAAGTGCCTACATTCCAGGTGAAGTTATTGTTTTATGTGTACAAAATTTTTTTGTTAAGTAACAATGAATTTAATAATATCATTATAATTAAAAACCTCTTTCTTTTTTCTCAACTAATCGTATTTTATGTACCTATCTATACACAAAGTTTAATAGCAATTCATATAGCAAACATTGTTGATTTAACATATGTAGGAATTAAAGAATTTTCACTATCTTTTCGTGGAGTAAAGTAAAATAAATTTTTATCTATATGTATAGGTACGTTCCTCTGCTGGGCACAGGCCTCCTCTGATTTCTGGGGGGGGGGGGGATAAGGGCAAGGAAGAGTCCGCCACACTGCACTATGGGACCAAACGGTGCATTTCATCTCAAAAATGTTTCGGACAAAAGTCCTGTTAGTGAAATCATTCTGTTTGTTTTATATCCCTTCAATACTCATAAAAATCCCATGCAGTTGCATGCATCCGTCAAATCCCGAGCGGTCGCATTCGACCGCACCCACCCACGACACTTTAAACCATTAAAACTTATATTTAAAGACTACTTTTCTATGAAGAAGTTTGGTATTATAAAATCTATACAAAATTCTCTATCCTGTGGTCTAAACAAAAGTCAGGTTTTACTTCATTACAAAAATACTTTATTGTATTTTGATAACAAAAAAAATATACCAAGCGGATGTCGGCAGCGTGCAAATCATAATTATTTATATATATTACTCGAAATTATTTACGTAAAAAGATAAATTATATTCACACAAAATTCATCACAATTTTAGAATAAAACACTATACTAAAACACTAATAAAACTAGAAAAATCCAAAAATCAACACAATAACATTCACACGAAAATGGCGTACGAAATGAACGTAGATTATAAATAAATATCCATACATTAAAAGATTTTTTTATTCCACTAGGGGATAGAAAATCTCATATTGATTCTATAATGCCAATCTTCTTCACAGAAATATATTCCCAAAATTAATATATGGGTTAAAGTGCTGAAGGTAGGTGCGGTCACATTTGACCTCTTGAATTTTGATGGAATTTCGCTGCGGTCGAATTTGGACGCTTAGCAGCTACGAGGATATTCTAAAAAGATGGAGCTATCCGATATAATAGTAAAAAAAAAAACAGTTTTACTCAGATTACTAAGTTCTTTGAGAAAATATATAAGTATTGTACATTTTTGAATTGCTCAGGATCTCTTGTTAACAAGTACGTTATGTTTTTAAAAGAAATTTAATTTTTAAGTGTCATAAGGAAACTTCCGTCTTTTGGATTTTCAAATTGAAGTTTCCTTGATGCCGAAAGCTGCCGATGTCGAGTTAATGACATTTTTAAGCGTGGTCTAGATAAGCAACAAATCTTGCAGAAGTTGACTTCTGCAAACTATTCCTTCCGTGTAAACTATCACGTCAAGCTCAATTCCCCAAGTTTTGTCACTTGCAGGAATTGCCGGAGATCGCAAGTGTTAACACTATTTTGAAACTTCTGGTAGTAACTTGCGGTTTGTTATGCTTGCAAATAAAAGTTTAAAGTTGCTGAGTCAGATGTCAGATAAAAAAATTTTGGACGCGGGATGATACTGTGCGGCTAATAGACAAGTATGAACAGTACAGAGAATTATGGGATACGAAATGTTTGGGTTCTTCGCACCAGTGTTCTTTTAATAGATGATTGTGGATACCAACATTATCTCTTTTTAATATCTAATTCTTAACCCATTTTCTATTTTTCCGTTTCTTTTTAATACTACTAGATAAGACTACTATAGCAGCAGCACGTATTTTTCTACCGCTTGGCATGATGATTAATTTCAAGTATATATTTAATAAAATAAGATAAAGAATACTCTGAATTTGGATCCTCTGACTTGCATGCAAAAAATATTGCTCCTACTTAGTGTAAATTCTTTTCCAAGTACTTCCAAAAGTTATTTTACAGGCCACTTGCGGAAGCAAATTGCGATAGTAATATTGCTGGTAGTGTAAACGGTTCTGCAAGTACTTGCGTCATAACTTGGCAGAAGTTCTTGCTAATCTAAATCCCGCTTTAGATTCGTTAACTATTAAGAAATACAATGAAAAA